ACTCGAGCAGGTGGTCGAGATTCAGAAGCAGACACTCGCGGAGGACAATCCAAATCGACTAGCATCACAGCATTGCCTAGCGTTAGCATATCAAGCGAACGAACAGATCAAGGAGGCAGTGCCACTACTCGAGCAGGTGGTCGAGATCCAGAAGCAGACACTCGCGGAGGATGATCCACGTCGACTAGCATCACAGCATAACCTAGCGGGCGCATATCAAGAGAATGGACAGATCAAGGAGGCAGTGCCACTACTCGAGCAGGTGGTCGAGATCCGAAAGCAGACACTCGCGGAGGACCATCCAGATCGACTAGCATCACAGCATAACCTAGCGGGCGCATATCAAGCGAATGGACAGATCAAGGAGGCAGTGCCACTACTCGAGCAGGTGGTCGAGATCGAGAAGCAGACACTCGCGGAGGATCACCCAGATCGACTAGTATCACAGCATACCCTGGCTACGTCCTATTGGAAAATTGGCCGTCACGACACCGCGATGCAGATGATGCAGCGGGTTGTTGAAATCCGGCGACGGGTGCTCGACGACCATCACCCACATCGGAAGGATTCTGAGAAATGGCTTGAAAATATGGAAACTGAGATGGCTCGTCTCGATAGACAATGGACTCCAAAGCGGATCAAACGAGGCGGGTGATGCATGCATCTGGCCAGTTCTTCCACTTCTCCCATCTATCAATCAACAAAGGTCATAAGGTGCAGGACATTTTCGAAGAAAGTCTGCCCATTCCACCTGAGGGTGCGACCGGCTTGCGATGTTGGACTGAGACCAGAATGGCATGCGCCTCTAGTTGGCTTTCGAAGAGAGCGATGACCAGCCGGGCCGTGGGATGGGTGTGAAGGGCCATTCCTGATTCTTGTTCTTTCTGCACATCATCCTGCAAATCTTCCTGCATATCATCTCTTGATGAATAAATGCCATGTCTATCTCATGGATCCAGTATGTAGAAGCCGGATGGATGGATAGGTACCAATGATGGATGGACAGGTTGATGGATGGATAGGTTGATGGATGGATAGGTTGATGGATGGATAGGTTGATGGATGGATAGGTTGATGGATGGATAGGTTGATGGATGGATAGGTTGAT